ACCTGGACCTGGAACCTCCAAAAATGTCTGAGGGACATTTTGAGTTCCCACACTGTATAACATTTGTTTAGGAATAGTAATCCTTGAAATGAACTTTTTTTTTGCTGGTAATGAAAAAGTATTGATTTCTGTAGATTGGGGGTGTTCTTAGGTCATTATAGATTGAATTGACAGAATAATAATTTTGACTAACAACTCAGTGGGTTTTAAGAGTGTTCACTTGTTTATTCAGTATGCTTTGCTAACATAAGTGGAAGTGTATATGTTAGTTTATATGTTTGTATTGGTACTCTCGCCACTCCCAGCAATCTTCTTTTATTGGTAAAACATGAAAGTGTACTGATAATATATTTTCTCTCTCCTGTGATTTTCTGCCAGTGATGCAGGTCTACTCCTGGCCATCACTATTCTTCCTATTTACCACAGAAAACTAAGATGAGACAGAAATCCTCCCAGGATCCCTAAGCTCAGGTTTGGTGTTGTTGGCTTGGGACATTTATACAGACACTGAGTAATCAGCACCAGTCCTGAGGAACATCTGACTCTTGGAAACTTTTTCCCTTTCAAGCAGTAATAAAGGTGGTGAAATGCTTTAGACAACAGCTACAGACATGTTTGTTTTCCTCCACTTTTTTCTCATGCTTATATCATGCTACTGCATAGCAGTAAAATCTACACTCATTGTACACGTACAGGAGTCATGCCATCATGAAGCAGTATCCTGCAGCCTTTTCCCAGCCCTGTCATTGTGAGAAATCCTGAGTAACTTTGTGATTAGAGTACTGTGGTTTAGGAATGGTATTCTTCAATTTAGTGCTCCCACTAAAACTATGCTGCTGCTTGTTCCCCCCTCCCTTTCCCCTCTCCCCCCTGTGGGTTAAAGTAGAGGAGAACTGGAGGCAGGAAAGGTAAAGATGAAGGGTTGAGATAAGAAAAATTTACTGGAAACAGCAATGAGAGATAAAATGAAGAGTAACAGCAGCAATATTAATAACAAAAGTGTACAAAAGAGAGAGAGTGATTTACATGCAAAATGCTCACCCTGACCACTCCCTCTGGCTTGGAACCTGTGCTACCCAAGGGGTAAGGATAAAAAGGAGTAAGACTCTCCTGTTGAGTCACTAACTTGAAAGTAGACCCCCTTGCTAAACTGTGCCCCAGACTTGATGAGCAGTTTAGGCCCAAAGGTTTTAACCGCACTTAATTGATAGCTTAATTTAAACAATTTAACTAAGGATTAATGTAGAATTTTCTATAGCAGAATAGTAACTCACTAGCCAATTTACCCACAAATCTAAAGTACTTGAGAATGTATGAGAGCAACATTCCTAGTCCGTTTACTATAGCATATTCACACTCACACGCACGGACCTAAAGAATATGTACAAGGTATCCACCTGTGAAAAATTCCCTTTGAAATCAGTGATGTACTCACATTGGATGCCTTTGCATCTTCTCAGTGGGTGAAGGGTTGAGTCTTGAGGAGTGGGGGTATTAGCCTGGGATCTGTCATTGGCATTCAGTGATCCTCCAAGTATAGCAAGCTTGAGAGTTTGCTGGCTCTGAGAGGCCCCACTCAGAGGGAGGTTGCTGGTCACAGCCTGCTGTGGTCCAGGAGAGCTCAAAGGGTCTCACTTTGGACTGCTGTTTCTGGGCTTCAAGAGTGGGCTTTTGTCATAGCAATTTTCCATCCTGGCCACAATTTGGGGCGGTAACTTTCTTTGAAAGTTCAATAACAAATGTTAGTCCACTTGGATGGTTATTCAGGCAGGAAAAATAAGTTTCCAAGGCTGTTAAAAAGCAGGATCTCTTTAAACAGCACCAGTTTCTGGGAGCAGACCGTGTTTCTGATAAGCTCAAGAGGAGCTCAGCCCAGGTGCTGCTGCCAAGGCCGAGGCCTAATGAGCATTTCTCAGATCATAGTGTGGCCTGAGGGTGGAGAGGGGATGCGCCACCATACTCTAACTAGTATAGTGCACTATCTTTAAAGCAATTATATTAAAGCTAGAAAAAATAATTATTAAGTAGAGATTGATATTACCCATACCAATGACTGTGGGCCAATCTGTTGCGCAGTCTCAAGGAATAATCTTGGGGGGCATCCCCACTCAAGGAAGGAATCTCCACATGTACTCCAAGAAAGGATGTGTTAGAAGACCCTGCCATTAAAAAGCTGGACTGGGCTTTTATACTAGTGTTTGACTGTCAGTCGTGTTTCTGGGCCAGCTGTGTCAGCTCAGCAACTTTAGCTAAGTTATCAGTACTATCACTTGTTGGTTCCTTTATCTCAGGTACTTTACCAGGTTTCCAGGTTTGCCATATTTTTACCTCACTATCAGAATGCTTACCTTTGTGGCTGATGAGTCAGGCTGGTTTCAGCATTTCTTCAACACCAAAAGCTGCATGACCCCCCCCCCCCCCCCTTTCTTCATTCACCAGTGATAGCTTTGCAAATAGGGTATTGTTCAAGTTGTTTTACCCCCATTCCAGACAGAGCATCCTGCTACATCCCCATCTTATTAGTAATATCCCACTTAATGCTCAAAATTATAGTTACTATGGTAATTCGAAGGCAGTTGCTAACTGCCCTCCTCCTTCCTGTTGCTTTGGTACTTAAAAGTAGGTGTGAGGTGTGAAACCTCTGCCCGGTGTGGTGAAGGTATGTCCATGCCAGGGAGGTGCAATGTTGCCCTGGTCAGTGCACTGTTGGTGGTGGAGCAGGGCCCTTGAGACAGAGTGAAAATTTAACAGGGTAGAAATCCATTTGGATTTAGGTGAAATGTACCACTTTGAGCTTGCTAACATAAGTGAAATATGTTGTTTGGTCTAGTAACTACAGCACTAGGAAAATTGTCCCAGCTAAGGAAGAGATAAGAAAGACTCCTTGGACCTTGAAACAGACAGGGCAGAGTGACCCAGGAGTTCTTTCTGTACTTTCTGACAAAAACTGAGTACAAGTGTAACTAGCGCTAAGTGTAACGCAAAATCAGCATACTGAATATGCATGAACCTATTGTGAAATTCTATGCATATAGAAATTAGTCAGGGTAATAAAAAAGGATCGGGAGTTCTCAGGGGTGGGCATGTCCATTGAAGGGCAATGAGTCCCCACATGCGTCCACAGCGTTTTGAATAAACCGTTCCCTACAAATCTTTATTGGAATTGTGGGGTTTTGATTTTTCATCCGCGTTTCACCCTTCAGCTGCTTCTTGTGCTGGGCCTGGGCTGGTTGTTGTGTATACTGCCAATTGTGCTTTAAGATAACTATTACGTCTGAAATGGATTATAACATGCCCATGTTGGCTTGATGGAGACCATCAAACTGGGGGTGTGTTTCCACAGTTGTCTGAAGCAAGTGCAAGTTCATACTGCTGCCAGGAAGATGCTCTTACCATCACTGGTTTTCTGCTTCAGACCTGTTGCCAAATTGTGATGCTCATGAGTTGCAGTCAGCAAGATGAGGGCATTCTCTAAAGATCTTGTTATATTCAGGTTGTTTGGGCTGTTTTCACAGCAAGCGGATCTTCCTGTGCTGCTTCATCCCCCCAGAAGTGTTTCAAATATTTGTGTGCATGTCTTTTTCCTTAAAGTACCCTTTCATCCTGAAAAACAAATATGGATTAAACAACAAATTGAGACCCACTGGAGTTAACATATATTAAATCACAGTGGGCTAACTCCAGACTATCATAGGTGAAGTTATTAGCCTGTCTTTCAGAGAGACTAGTGCTCTCTGTCATGTTCTCTATTAAGGATGCTTGGTTTTATTTTTTTCATTGCTTATTGTGGTATGCTCAAGTTGTGATGTGTTGATACTTTATTTGTTGAGTACCCATTCCTTGTGAATGCCAGTGAGCAGCTTGCACCAAAGCTGCTGCCCTGACAAGTTGCATGCTGAGGCACGTTCATACTTCTGGGCTGCAGTAAAAGCACTTTGCTGCTTGTTTGCACATCTCCTCCTGCCCAGGTACACCACTTGTAGGTTGTCCTTAGTTCCCTAAATTTGCAGGTTTTACTTCCCAGTGTCATGGGACAGAAACCAGGCAGTCAACTCTGACCTGACCAGTCACAAGATCTGTTTCCAGTTATCATAGTAACTATAAGCCATACTTGTCAATTAACCTTGTGTCAGATGCTGTAAAAACACAGGGGGAATAATAAATGCCTTGTTTCAAAGTAATTGTAATGATAGAGAATGCATTAGAATGAAAGCTGACTACCGCAAATGGGATAGCACTGGTAGGTGTGTGTGGTTTGAGTTTTCTTTTGTTTTCTTTTGTTGCCATACAACCAATGTATGTTTAAAGCAGGGTAATAGGTAGTTTTGTAAATAATTTCTTTAAATGTTAGGGAGAACATAAAAATATTGTTTACAAAGGCTGTATTTAAAGGTAAGGATCATGATTTTTCTATAAGAGAGAATGAGGGAGTGGGAAATAGAGTGGGCATTGTCTATGACTTCATGTATGTGTGCAGGAAAGCAGTTTAATGATAGGGAAGAAAGGAATGGCCTGAGTTGTGAATGTGACTTCTGTTAGCATTCTGAGTGGGTATGAGTGGTTAAATTCTAGGCATCAAAACAAGACAGCAGATATTAAAGAAATCTAAGGAGTGACCCAGCTGGAGCTGGAATTTCAGCAGAGTAGCAGATAGAAAAGTCTATATGTTAAATAACTGAGAAAAGCTGTGAGATCCAGATGTTGTCTGGAAGTAGAGATCTAGACAGATTGAAGTCAGCTAACAAAAATGCCTTTTATCCACTTCATTTACCCCTTTACTGTAAAGATTGCAATAAATCCAAAAATAGTGTATTGAAGCTGCTTTCTCGGGAGTCTCTGTATAGAGTTTGTGGTAAAGGCAGGAAGAGTTCAATATACTACATTTGTATATTATCGGGGTATGGCATCAATACCCTGCCTTAACTCTTTTTTTCCTTTCAGATTTTCTATTTTGTACATACATTGTTTTGTATATACTATATATGATGACTTCGGTGGTCAGTGAACGTACCCGGGGTACTAGGGACAAAATGCAAATTTCAACCTCTCAGCCAACACAACCACAGAAACAAGTAGTACAGGTACGTGCTACTATATAATCTTTGAGTTGAAAGTGAGCATGCAATGATTTCTTTCTTCCCTAAGTCAGTAAAAACTGGGAAGAGATGGGGGGGGGCTATGGTCTTATTTGGAAAAGTATGTTTGTTTGATATCTTGCTTTAATTGCTTAGTTATCCAGCACAGCATTAAGTTGTCCCTGTATTCTTGTCTCTTAAGGAGCTTTGTGTTCTTCAGCATCATTTCCCATGAGTGAGGAATCTATGCCTATCTCTGTCAGGATTTCTGTCCTGTTACCTTAGTGTCTTCAGGGCTCAGCTCTTTCATATGCCAGCCTCATGATGCTAGAAAATTTCTGGTCGGTAGAGGAATTTGGGTGGGTGGGAAAAGCTTTGTTAGATTCATGTTGTGTTCTACAGCATGATTCAGCATATTTAGAAGTCACAAAATCCTAAACTTCTTGTGCAGTGCCTTCACAAAGTGAAATGAAGATGGTTGTCCACTAGCAGACTAAAGTTATTTTGAGTATCTGCAAGATGGAAATTAAGCTTTTACCCCATTGTCTTGGTTCTCAGCAGCAGAATAGTTAAGTTGTGTGCTTCCCTGGGTTAAAGTGCAAAATGTCTCTGTTCCTGGCAACTCATTATTCTTTTGTTAGGTACTTTTCAAAATTTGATTCAATTCAATAATTTCCTCAGTTCTCAATCTAGAGGTGATCCCTTGGGAAATTGTCTTATTTTCTAGACTGATCTTTAACATGGAGGGGCTCTTTTGCTCTGTACAATATTAATTATGTGACCTCAAGCTCTTATTTCCTTGTGTTACAGTGCTTTGCATAGTGGTGATTCATGCTAATGTGTGGGTTTAGAAAGTGAGTTTCAACAAATTAAATTGAATTTGGTTTTGCTTTATAACAAGTAAGTGTGCAGGATTATAACAAGCAGGTTGACAGAAGTGATGGGTATCCCCTTTTTTGATGTTTACCAGACAGTGGAGTACTCTGCCCAGTTTTGGGTTTCCTAACGCAAGGCAGACATTGGCAAATGGGAGCAAGCCCAGTAAGGAGCTGTGAAGATGGTTGAGAGACTGGAGCACAGGATGAATGAGTGGTGACTGAGAGAACTGGATTTATTCATTCCTAAGAAGGCAAGGCCAGGCTGTCTTCTATTCAGATACCTCATGAAAGGGTATAAAAAAGGTGAAGCCAGCCTCAGAGACAATGGCACAAGTTGGAACACTGGAAATTCCAGCTGTTAAATGGAAAAAAATTGTTTACCACAAACACTGTCATGGATTAGAGAGGTTGTGGGATCTCTATCTGGCCTCAAGCAGCTACTCTGATGGGACATGCTCTCAAGTGGGAGGTTGTACTATCACTAGGGTATATTTGCAACTGATGTGATTCATTCATTTTAAGCATTAAGTCTTAGACCTTTTTCTGCATTTTTTCCCGCTTATTCTACCTCTTGCATAATAGATATTGGTTTGGTCATTTCAGTGGAAAAGATGATTATGTAATATACAGCAGATATGTTTTAGTGCACAGTATATTTTTATTGTTTAGATCACATGAACCTCCCTCCTTAGGCTTTACAGATCAACAGCAACATGTGGGATGATACTATTCAATTACCACTGATTCATTTTTTGAATGTAGAATTATGTTACTTTCTCAAATGGAGATTTCATTGTCATAGTCACATTGAACATAATTTAAGTTATTTAAGAAATTACATCACAGTTCTTTTTCATTGTTTCTGGATAATAAATATACTATTTTATTTTAAGATCCAGGCCTATTACTATCACTTTGTGTTTTGCATACTTCTGTTTTCTCGCAGTTCAAAGTTGTTAAAAATTTCCTTCACTCTGTTATGCTGCAAAGATAATGTATCTTGTAAGGCTGAGTGAAGTTCTAGCTGTCTTAAGATGCTACCATTTTCTTAGTTGCAATTAAAACTTAATTATACTGTTTTATAGGATATTACAATGACATTTGTGACAATGATGCCTTAAAAATGAAGAAGAAACGCTCACTGGGGAAAAAAAGCAAAACTTTTTTGTGACACTAATTTGGTGTTTGTGTTGTAAACACATCTTGTGGGGTTTTGTTGATTTTGTTTTCTTCTGAATCTTCAATTCTATCTGTATGCAATCCACTGGCATAAATGTTAGTGATATTGCACCTGCTTGTGTTTCTAAGCTTTCTCCTTACACAGGAAAACTAAAGATATTGTTACTCATTTGATAGTGTTATAAAGTTTGTATAATTTTGTCTTCTAACATGGACTTGAAAAAAGTTTGTTTACAGAAGAAATGAATCTCAGTGGTTTCCCGTTTCTGGTCAAATATCCCATTGTGTCTCTATAGAAATTACATTGAATGTTTGTATTCTGGATATCTTTAAAGGAAATCTCTTCACTAGCTAAAAAGTTGCTTGTGGGCATGAGGAGGCTGAAGTCAGAGCAAGAAGATGGGTCATCAGGACTTAATTTCTGAAACCAGCAGACCTTTTATTTTTGCTCTCTGCTGAGCTCTCAATAGATACCAAGAGCAAACTCTTTACACAGAACACCACACTGATGCAGGAAGCTTTTGTGGAGGGCGGCACCAGGGATAGCACAGGGAATTCCAGAGCAGGCTCTCCTCTTGTGTTACTGATTGGCATATGAAGCTGTCAGCATGACACTTTGAAAATGTGAAGTAGTGCAGAGTATTTAACTCTGTTACTTTCTTAGTTTAAGGCAATTATATGGGGTGGAGACTCCACAATGACTTACCTTCTCATAGTTTTAATCACTCCCCTTTCACCAATAAGGAGAAATGAACATGAGAAGATATAAGTGACAAAATAACAGTTTACTAAAAAGAAAAAACAGCAATAACCACTAGATACAAAGGTGCTGAGTCACCTCGTCCCCATGGGAACAAAGAAAACAAGATGGTGGAGAAGCCCCCTCCTCCCAAGATGATGGCAGCCGTAGCAGCCCACGTAGCCTGGAGGACAAATACAAGATAGTGGAGAAGCCCCCTTCTCTGGACCACTGGCAGAGAGAGAAAACAAAGGAAAATCAACACAGCAACTGAATCTGCTGTTCCACGACTCCCTTCTCCCTCAAACAACAACCAAGAGGGGACAGGGACAAAGCAAAACCTGGGAAAAAATCCTATTTTTGTCCAAAAGGCTTCAATGCTGCTGAGACGCTGGAAAAAACTTCCCTCCTTGGCATGGCTGGAACTGGAGCAACAGCTGGAAAAGTTGTGGACAATGGGTCTGACTCCTCCTTGGCGAATGGCAGGTGGCTGGAACTGGAGTATCAGCTTAAAAACTCATGAAGAAAGGATCCCGACACCTCCTCGTGAAACAGCAGGCAGTGGCGGCAAAGGTGTTTCAAAATCTGCTGTGAAGTAGGTTCAGATTGTGAAATGCAGCTTTGTGGGTTGTGACTAGGAGACCTGCCCAAGGCAACCCCTTTGGGAGCCCAGAGAGAACAAGAGGGCTCATTGGGGTGCATTCCCTGTTTTTAAAAGGACCCAGCCCCCCTCCTTTCCCTGAACTGGGGTAAAACACACAAGTTCCTCTTTGTGGGTTGTCAGGTCTTAGAGACTAATAATCTTTGGCAGGTTGACATGCAGAACATATGAAATACATGAGGTTTTTTGGGTCATCTAGGTCACCTAGGACAGTTACAAATGCTGATTGTCTTGGAACATTGACTCTGAGCAAAGCAAATATTATTTCCCTCAAGGAACTGGGACAGCTGCAGTAACTTCTCAGCCAATAAGCAGCTGATGTTTTATGGCGGAATAATTTTTTAGACTCAGGATTTACATTTGGTGATCTTCTCGAAAGCTTGCATTTGTGGTAAACTCCAAAAATGAAGCAGTTTGAGACTAAGTTTGAACTTGTGAGGTACAGAATTTCATGTGGGTATCCTGTGAAGTGAGACTGCCTAGGATGAATCCTTTCTGTCAAGAATTTCGGGGGATGATGTGGTCCCCTTCTCAATAATGAAGTCTTCTGCAATACATCAACTTGCATTTTGTGTCCTGGCTCTCTTCAGTATCAGCCTTCTCTAGCATGAGATAGTAGCCTCTTCTGTTTGGGCAGAAATCAAATGAGGTCCAAGTTCATGTAGCATACAGTTATCTTTGGTATTTTCATGGGAATGCAGTTAAGTAGGCTGCAGATGCTGCACTATGAAGAGTGGCCTATATGATGTGCCGTTAATGTTTTTGAGTAGTTTTCTTTTTAAGGTAGCTATAGCCTGTTTGGGTTTATGGCTCTTTACTGCAACCATCCATTTTAGTCTTTCAGCTTTTGGCGAAGTTGCCAGCATGGATTTGTTGTCCAGAAATGTTACAAAAGCACCAAATATTTTGTCAAGAGCAAGATTTTTTAGCAGTTTTCAGAGACTAGTATTCAGTTATTAAAAAAAAAAAAAGGAAGTTCAGCTGTTTATGAGCATAATCTTGAGGCATGACTCAGTCTTGTGCTCATAAAACTAGTCAGGTGGTTATTGGGAGAGGTGTGGAAGGTGATGTGAACAGGGATCATCAGAGGTGTAGTAAATTTAGAAATACCATTGTCAGTATGTTATGATAAAACTATCTCTGGAGTGGTAGATACTAAATAAAAGAAATATCAAAGTGTAAGCTTCTGTGGTAAATTCTATTATATGCTTGTATTGTCTATGTGGCGAACTTTAACGATGGTTCAAACACATCAGAATATGTTGAAATTGCTTCTGTTCTAGCTAACTTTTTAACTATAAAATGGGCATAGAAATGTTAATCCCTTCCCTGTAGCACTGCTGTGCTTGTGTATATTCTTTTTGAGAATCTTGAGAGAAAAAAAAAAGTGACACTAGTGACCAGTGACAGGACCTGAGGGAATGGCCTGATGTTGTGTCAGGGGAGGGCTAGGCTGGATGTCAGGAAAAGATTCTTCCCCCAGAGGGTGGTTGGGCACTGAACTGATTTCCCAGGGAATGGTCACAGCCCAAGGCTGCCAGAGCTCCAGGAGGGTTTGGACAATGCTCTCAGGCACAGGGTGGGATTGTTGGGGTGTCCTGTGCAGGGCCAGGAGTTTGACTTTGATGATCCTTGTGGGTCTCTTCCAACTCTGTGTATTCTATGATTGTGATAACTAGGAGATACTTAAAAAAAATATAGTTAAATGTTGTGTACTTTATTGGATGTTTGTTTTTCAGGCAACAGCAGAACAAATTCGCCTTGCTCAGATGATCTACGATAAGAATGACACAGATTTTGAAGATAAAGTGAAACAAGTATGTTTCATATGATACAGAGTTTTTATGCTCTGTAACAATGCTGACTTGTGTTTTGGAGGTAGAGCATGTTTCTGATTTAGATGAAACCTTTTTCACAAGGATAAAAGTTTAACTAGAAAAAGGTGCTCTTATTGTCCTGTAAAGTCTGTTTTCAAGAAATTGTGTGGTAATATAGCTATGACTGTATGGTTATACCTGGTGTATTTTCCTTTTGCCTTTAAGCCAAAACTCATCTGTGCTGATCTCTTCCAGACTATATCTCTTTAGTATGGTCACAATTGAATAATTGTCAGAATAAAGAGTGCGTTCAGGTTGTTCATGTGTACACACACATGGGAAAAATGTCACCTGTGTAAACTAAGTTTGCCAATATATTGGTTGTTTTTCAGGAAAAGTAAAAATCATAGAATCATAGCTTAAAGGTAAATTGAGGTATTATTTTAAAAAATAATTTGACGTCCTAGAGCTGTGTATGCAGCTTTATTGGCTTTTCCTATGTAAAACATCCTCTGAAGCATTAAGTGCTTTTTGTTGTTATAAACTTGTTTTGGTGATGTGCCAGAAGTGAAGTTTTGTACTTCCTGAAGCCATAGTACCCTCATCAACAATGCCTGTAGCTGTGCTGGTGGGAAGGACAGGAATTAAGTTCTGCATAGGAAATCTCCAAGCATAAAGTTAAAGGGAAAAAAAAAGTGAGAGAGTGCTTTCTTGATTATAATTTAATTTATGTTTACCTTTATTCACGATTTTAGTTTGCTCTGACACAGTAGCTTATGCGCGTTTTTGAATCTGTGGTGATACTAACTCTTATTTTCTTACAAAGATAATTTGAATATTTTAACATGTCTGATTCTTACTGCCAGCTTATGGAAGTGACGGGGAAAAACCAGGATGAGTGCATAGTGGCACTACATGATTGTAATGGGGACATGAACAGAGCAATTAACACATTGCTGGAAGGAAGTTCAGACACGGTAAGATTTTACTTTCCTATTAATCTGTCTTTTGTTTCCACTTCTTAGAAGTGATTGGGAAAGTCACATTTTGGAAGCTTTCAATTTCCATGCCTCCAAATTCTTTTGAAGGAAATTGAGACCAGGACAGCTTTTCTGCTGCATGTATACCTTAGACTAGGCTGAACCTTGAAAATGTTGTAGGTGTTTAGCTGGTTTCTTGCAGAATCTTTTGGTTTTCATTTACATACAATAATTTTAACTCTGCAGCAGAAATCATTGCTCTGTCAAACACAGGCCTGTTTTTTGCTCCAATGTTTGTAGTGATGCCTAGAGAGGCTACCTGGAACAGAGCCTAGACAGTGTTAAAGGAATAAAGTAAGTATTAAAAGGCCTTAAAAGGATACACCTTGGGCAGTACAAGACCCCAGCCGTGGCTCGACGCAAGATGGACGACTGGTCATGAGTTTTCACACTTTTATAAGTTTTGGTCCATTTACACACTGGGGTTAATTGTCCAATTACAGCTTCAGGTTATGAAGTTCTGTCCTCCCATATTGCTTTCCTCAATTTGCTGTTGTTTATACTTTTTTGGGCCCGAAGCTGCAATGGTGTCCTTGGTTCTCAGGCTGGAAAAGGATTGTTTTGTCTAAACTGTGAGGAGAACTTACTAACACTTTAGTCACACACTAAGGCAGTACAGAATCTGAAAAATATGAAAGCTAAAATTTAAAGCATCAGTAGCACCTCCCAACCATGAGACCTGAGTCTGTTTGCCTCAAAGGATAATCTTTATAAACCTAAAGTGCAGGTAGATATTTTAAGTTGTGTAGCTTATGTAGGTTTGCATTGTCAGTATTAAATTTGGAGGAGGTTTCCACATCTGAAAGTTGCATTGACAGCACTACTAATGGCAAAAGAGGATACAAGTATCCTTTCACTGTTGTTCATTTGCATAACTTCATTGAAAACCAGAAAGAGGAGACTAAAAAATGTGTATATAACAACAAATAATATTGTTTAGAATGTTACACAGCAATTTTCTATCCCAAGAGATACCAGGAAAATGTCTTGGTGAAGCTCAAGCTTTTGCTGGAGGGACTTCTTACAGTTTGTCCAAGACAGTAAGCTAGATTCCATCTCATCAAAATTGGGAAAGAAACCTGGACTTCCTTTCTTAATGCTGAACATTCTGTATTTCCTGCGATTTTTCAGGATGTGTGGTCTTATTGTTAATGAGGAAACCCACCCCCCCACACCCTAAATCTAGAACACATACTGTTCTGACTGAGAGGCCTTTCTTTCCTATCCCCTTTTCATTTATCAGAGTTGAGGTCATCTAGAACACATAAATATATAATACTGAACAAACTGTCAAGTTGGGAATAGAAGAGAGCATCTCATGATTAAATCTGTTGGTAATGTGCTGGTTTTTTGTTCTTTTGTACTTCTTGTATTTGCCATTTTCTAGTTGAAAATAGTTTTCTGACTGATAGAGAATTTTAAATGCTTCCTTACTTTAGCAAAGTTTTTATACGTGATCATGGCATGGAAGAAACTTTCTGAACTCATTTATCAATTAGAAGCATCATATCCATATATTGTTCTTTTGACAAGTCCCTCTGAACTCACTGCACTTTGTAGACAAAATGCAACTCAGATACAGACAATTTGAAGGACTCAAGAAGGAAGGAGTATTAATTAGAAGGGGTTCTCATCAGAGTGTGAATAAACTTAATGCAAATCTGTGGGCCTCCAACTTGAAGGCTGTTATACTCCAGAACACTTTAACCGTGGATTTGATGTAAGGTTGTGTTACTGTTGAGCAAGAAATGACACAAATCCACAAACAGGCTGGTTCACACAACAGCACTTTTAATACGAAAGTTCTCTTATAACTAGGTTTGACACATTCTACTTGATTGACTAATTAGCAAAAACATTTTTCTCACAAACAGTCGTTGAGAAGAACAGAAAAACAGAGTAGGAAAACACCACGTGCAGGTTGTTTATACTAACAAGTTATCATTGTTCCTCTACAATTCCCTAAAAAGTCTCACAAGTCCATTGTGAGAAAATGAATTCCGCTTTCTCGCTTTCTGACCAGGCTGTTGCATCCACAAGGTTGGAAGCAGAGGTGGTACTAGTTCTGAATGCAGATTCCCAAATCTCTTTTTTTTAGTTTCACTGCTTTGATGCACTGGAAGGTTTTTTTACCTCATTTGGAAGAAGACATGTCTGTTCAAATTGAGGAATTAAAAGGAGTGATAGCTAGAATGTCCATTTATAATTTCTTTGGTATTCTGCCAGTTTTGTATTTTTTAAAAATATTGTAATATATTGTAATATTTAAGGCTTTATGCTCCATGACTGTTAGTCTTTATGAAGACTTCACTTGCAACAGTTATGTCAGTTTGTCTTTGGACACAGAGGCTTGTGGATGAGAGTTGAGAAGGGCATGTTTCTTTGCCCAAAACTTCTATTCATTTAACTTCCTACAGTCATAAGATCCATTTTATGTCTGACCATGTGTTACTTCCTAAACCTTTTAAGATAGAACAAAGGGGACCTTTCAGATTATTCTTCTTTCCATCTAAGACCAGGCCAGCAAGGCAGTTTCTGTTACATATTTTTGAAGGTCAGGCCCACAGCTGTCATTTGGGTTGCCTCAGGCATCTTCAGCTGAAATTGTAAGGGAGCTAATTGATTGCAAAAGGAGACAGATTCAATAGTCTGTGAAGGATTCCCATGCCCAGAGGTAGCATCATACTGTATCTGAAAGGACATGCCCAACTTATTGAGGCTTTCCTCAGAATTATACTGTGGGAAAGCATGGATCCGATGCTTTCAGAGTCATCCTTTTACTGATCCTTCCTAAATCATGAAAAACCTTACTAAGGAGAGGCTGCTTCCTCTTCAGCTTTGCAGACTCACCCAGTTTTGGGTATTTCTTGCAATGGTTCAAGATTTTTGGCACCATGCCCATCAGTAAAATAGTCATGCATTCTGAAATTTATAGATTTGGTTCTTGAGTTGTCAGTGCAGGTTGGGTTTTTTTTTTCTCCTGTGAAATAACTAAAGTTTTAGGAGTATTTTAGGACATAATACAGTTACATAAGCTATGGCAGATGAGGCCATGTGATAGTTACTGGGGGAACCAGTTTTCTGCCTCACAGATAATGTGGTGTTGCTCAAACACATAGTTTTGTACTTTTAATCTGTGCTGTCTGTACTTCACTTACGTTGGTTTATGGCGATATAGTCTTCTATACTGGGGATAAAACTGAAAAGTTATTCAGACCTTTTTCTCACCTATATCACGTAAAAAAAAAAAAAGATAATAACTATTCTTGTAGTACTTATTGTCTCAAAGGAGATACTGAAACATTGAGTTTATACTTGTAAACTGCTTTGTTACCTGCTTTCTCAATAGAATTAGTTTCCTCAATTCTAGGCATCTTGGACTATCTGATCATTGCCTACCTTGTGAGGGCTGCTGAGTTGCTGTTGTCTGAATTGAGAAGAGATAGGACAGAACCTGAAACTATTGATAGCCAACCTTTTTTGTTGAATGCAGGTGCCTGTCAGAGGTCATGACTTTTTGTAGTGCTTCACAGTTTATACCATCTCATTTGCATGTGCAATTTTACCTCTCAAATACCTTACCTAGAAAAAAAGCCCCTAGAGATGGGGGCATATACATAAACCTATCTGCCATCTTAATGGTTTGCACATAATACCTTTCTTCTTTCTTTTTCAGCTCACAGCTCAATAGACTAACTGTGCAATTGCATAATATGAGTTGCTGTGCTATTTCTGATGAGTGTTTTAGTTGTTTTATTTTCAATTTCTATAGAACGGATATGATCCCTGAATTTATTTTAAAGGTGGAATTTAATATTAAAGCTAAAGCTCCAGTTTTCCCAAGTTATTGTTTTGCCATTCTGTCTCTTGGTGCTTGAATTCTAGTACATCTGGATAATGGTTTCCCCTGGCCACGTACTTACTATCTATTGTTCAATGATACTTATAAACATTTTTTCATTTCCTTTGGAGAAAATAATAGCTCTGTATGTATTCCCTTGCTAGATTTATGGAGGTAGTTGAGAGGGAAACTGTTGCTTGCTTTGCAGATTTTCTGTGTTGTGGCCATATCTAGGCTTCCTTGAACTAGTAAAAGTCCATTATAGCCAGAAATATTTGGGATTTTCACATTCCATAAGAAAATCCAACTTTTAAAACTTGTTTCTTTTTCATTCCTTTCAAAAAAATGCAACTTATGTTTCCATTTGTATCAGTGTGATATGTATGTATGGCTGGTTTTTTCCCATGAACTGGAGGGATGTGAGGTAGAAGCATACATTGAGAGCTGTCTCTTCCTTTTTGACTTTTGTATCTAATTCTATTCTATCCAAATAGACTTCTTGGGAGACTGTAGGGGGAAAGAAGAAAAACCTTGGAAAAGAAGGTTTGGAAAACAAAGACAACAGAGAGAAACGAGGGGACAGAGAAATGAGCCGTGGATGGGGAAGTTCCAACAGACGGGGAAGAGGAGGCAGCCGTGGCCGAGAGTGTATGTATTTGGGTTCATTTTTAAAGATTCAGATGCTTTTTTTTGCAGCTGAAACTGGTTAAGAGCAAATGCTTAATGGAGTAAAGTCTGTCTGAGCTATAGCTCAGCACTGAAGGGATCATCTATGCAACAGGTATGCTCGATCTGTCTGTGACTTGGTTTTGGGATGGTCTGTGTTTATTTAGAGACACTACATTTAAATTTCTGTCCTTTTTTGATTAATTGATCTTGTACAAATTGCTGTTCTTTTTTAAGTTTTATAATTGACTCTGTAAAACTGCTTGAGAAGCAAGTATGTTGCTGCACAGCTGATACACTTTTTTTCTTTTAATGAAAAAAATATACAGTCTTGATTACATCTCCTTTTATGAGTGGGAGAACCTGAAGATGTTCTCATCTTTTTATAAAGGGGAATGAAAAGACTGGGCTCATTATTACTCTCTAGCATATGTTACTCATAAGCCAACCAAATGTGAGTTCCTACAACACAGAAAGTTCTTTGTGGGTTGAAATGTTTAAAAATTTTTTACAGCTTATACAGGTGCAAAAATACATTGTACAAAAGCAAACTGACGTTTCCAAGTTAGGTAGCATCACATTAGATAGCCATTGGATGTGCATTGCTTTTTTCTATTTAAGTTTTATCGGCAGTATCAAAGCTATATAAATTGCCTGTAAGGGCCATACACACTGATAGATGAGCAGAGAAACACCAATGAAAAAATATGTTTAGCTTTTGACTTAAAAGCAGGAAACAAATTTACAATATTAGTCAATTATTTAAATTATTGTAATACCTTCAAATATTGTGCCAGTGAAGACATTGTGAATCTTTGTAAAATAATGTCAGTCAGGAAAAAATAGTAATAAAACTTGCAGCTATGCTTAGAAAAAATGAATTCAGATCCATCAAAATGAAAGTGAAGTGTAAAGCTGTAATGAGGGATGTGGGACTCCAGGCGGCTCTTCAAAATGCAGTTTATTACATCCAAGACGTTACAGCAGTCCAGGGTCATGGGTGACAGAGCCTGTGCCTACAGCTGTCAGCTCCAGCTGCAGACAAGCCTGAAGACTCTTTAGTTTTGTTGCTGCCATTAGAAAAAATTGTGCAGTTCAAAATCTCAGCAGTGTTTTAAGTGATCAGTCTTTTTTTTTTTTTTCTTCCTTCAAAGAGCCAGCCATCTTTTGAAGTACTTCCTCAGGAGTTTTCTGTGAAATAGTTAAGGTGCAGTGTGCTTTCCTAATGCCTCACCTTCACCTGGTTGTTATCCTTCTGATTTAAATACAAAGAAGAGTTGTTTTAAGTTACCCTGTGTCATGGTTTGACGCTGGCACAATGCCAGCGCCCCATGAAAATACAACTTACCAATCAAATGCTGTGAAATGTGATCAAGAACAGAGCAAAGCAGGCCAAACTTAATAACAAAGGAAAAACTTTATTACACTACTACTACTACTACTATAAAAGGAAAAGAAAGGAAAGGAAAAAAAAACACACAAAATTTGAAATTAAAACCTTCCAAAACATTTCTCCTCCCTCTACCCAACTCCACCAAACCCCAGCGAGACCCATTTGGATCCTTAATCAAGTTTTCACCCTTCAATATAATCAATACTGAGTCCATCGGGGAAGAGAGGAGTCCCCCTTGCACCATAGACCCCCAGGAAACACAGCTGCCACCTCTTGTGTTTCCAATGTCACACGTGGCACCGCCCAGACACACCGGCCAGTGTGACATTCTCCTCTCCATGTCACAGTGCTCTCACCACCGGGCATGGACAGAGACTGCTTATAGGGCCCCTTTAAGGATGCTTTGCCAAGGACCACCAGGAACAACAGTCCAGTATCGCAATTCGGGACTAGAGTCCCCCCCATTTTCCCCTGGGGCCGAGGGTCCAAAAGACAGAGATCGCCTTCTCTTCTTCTCTGAAGATGGAGGGCATCCTCACACCCTCCTCAGCTCTCTCTCTGTCCACTCCAAAACTGGTAGTTGCTGAAGAAGGTCTCTTGGCTCACCAATGCATCCCCCTAAAATGCAGTCCCTCTTGAAAGAAAGAGTGGTTCAGTCTATAGTAAACAAGCAGAGTCCAGCCAAAAGCCACTCTATCATCTCCCCCCAACCTTCTTCTCTGAACATCTGAGGTTTCAGGCTGTCTCTCTTCCTCTCTTTTTTCAAACCAAGGAGGAGAAAATTTCACAAAGCTTTCATTTCTCAGGAAGGGTTAAAAGTCCCAACTCCCAAGGATGGCTCGCTGCCCAGGCTCCAGCTCCCACAGCCCGGCTGGGCACCTTGCGGCCCCCCCGCTCTTCTCCTTCCCCGCGGCGAACTGCTGATAAAACCACCGCCGTCTCTTTTTCTCTCTTGGGAGAGAGAGAGACTCTGGGGGGAACGGAGACATCCCAGATTTCTCCACCCTTCCATCTGCAGGGGGCCAGGTCTGGTTCCAGCCCCTCCACCCTTGGGCCTACCTCCACAGGCCGCATGGCTCCCCTCCCCCACCCAGCCCGGGCTGGGCAGGGGAGGTCCGTACCATGCGATGACCGGAACCAAAGAAGGACGAGTCCTCCTGGGAATTCCGCTTTTAACCCCTCTGTGTTCTCAGAGGCGTGTCCACCTTCAATTGGTCACCCCAAGTGTCAGTATCTAAACCTGACCCCTGACTGGTGGACCTCTTCCTTCCAAAAAAAAATTCTCTTCCTGTGTCAAACCATGACACCCTGGTTGTACAGGTATATAGTATGGGCAGACAAAAGAGTTGGTGTTCTTGGTTGTTCCTTATTGTTTCAGCTGTTGCCACACAGCCTGCTATTGAGGAAGCATAGTATGAGGCAGCTTTTTTTTCCTACCTTGTTAAAGAAGTGAGGCCATAATTAATAGTGTAGGCTGCAAAACACTGCCTTTCTCCCCTCCCCCAAAACCCCAACCTAACAGAAATGTGTCTGCTGAAGGGTATTTTCCTCTTAGATATTTTTCTTCCTAATGGTCTAGTATGGATATTCTCAGTTCAGTCAGAGAGAAAAAGAGAGAGATTTCTACCAGGCTAAGCCTGGGAAAAAGTCTGAGAGGAATGTAAACAATTTATTTTCTCTCTTTCTGTTCATATTGTTTATAGATGTGTTCTGCCACACTGACCTAAGTCCAGTGTACCAATCATGTGAAATGTTTTTACTCTAAGACCAATGAAATTAGTCTTCACGATGTTCTCTATAAAAGAGTGATGTACTTCTTTTGAATAAACGTTCATTTTTTGCCTTCTGAATTTGGAGTAATTTCATTCCCGTCCCTGCCTCAGCAATGACAGTCTAGCACAAAGTAAACATAACTTGCTTGTAGCTAGGCTGCAGAAGAAGAGGGCTGACTGATATCTGTTAACCAGCCCACTTTAAAATATTGCCCTTTTTGTTTGAGATTTAGGTTAAGCAGATGGTTATACTGTCTCATGTGTGAGTCTCTTAAGCTGTCTTCTCTCCACAGTCAGAGCTGAAGAGAATGGAGTGGACAACAGTCAAGGAGACAGGCCTTCAGACCATGGGAAACATAGCCATGGGAGAGGTGAGATGGTAGTATTGGTGCAGGACTGGCACCAATGATTTCATATCCTTAAATCAAACTCTCCCATTTATTTCTTTAAACACTTCTTTTTAAGCATTTGTTGGTTATCCTTTGATTCCATAAGCATCTCATCCAGCTTTAATTTAGGTACATTCCTTTCCCTTGCCCCTTGTTATGTCTTGGTCTCAGAACAACTTAAAAGAATTGACACAGCTGACTTCTATGGTAATTTCCTGTGTAGCAGGCTTGTGTGCTCTGGCTATGGAAACCTGTTTTCCCAGATTGACTCATGTCAGCCTTTTGAGAGTGGGAGTATGCTGGGCTCTGCAGGATGTACCTTGGTTGCAGGAGAGCACAAGATTCCATCTGTATGGTTCTCAGGGGAGGATTTGATGTGTACTTGTGTTGTTTTTTTTGGGGTAGATCTGGTTGTCAGGCTTGCCTTCTGGTTTTGGTAGCCAATCGGAGAAAGTACAAGCCACCTTAGAGGCTTTTTGGTAAGAGAAGGAATTCAGCATAGAGAACTTGATGAAAACTGTGGAAAAAGAATACTGCAGAGTGTTAGGTACAACAATCTTATCCTGTAGAAGAGATAGGAAAGGTGTTGATAATGGATTTGATGTGGAATCAAGGGATGTGTAGTTGTTTTGATTTTTATGGGTTGAAGTGGAAAGAGGCTTGTTTCTTCTAAGAGCAGGAGGAATGAAAATTAATAACTTCGGTACAGTGCAGATTGTGTGAGGAAGTGGGTACTAAGTGAATGAAATTGAGAAAGTGCATAGCAGAACTAATGTACTTAAGTAATATCTGATTGGTGAAAAATTCTGCCTTCAAAAGGGTCTCTTCTTTGGAATATTCAGTAATGAGGCATTCAAAGACAGGCACATCCAACTTCATTGTTTCCAGATCTGCATCTTGAAGGAAGGGAAACATGCAAAGACATGTAGCTTCTAAAGGATTGCAAAAATGACTCAGTTGTACCTGTGAATCAGCAAATACCAAATGGTGTGTGTAGAGAGGTAGGCTTGCAGGGGAGGGTGTGGTATAGATCACAGCTATAGTTTTTTGGTATGTTAGCACTGTTAATAGATGGAATGTAAGTATTTCAGTTAATTGTTTTATAAAATAATCCTTTATACTCAAATTATAAAGGTAGGGGTTTTTTAAATTGTTGGGTGAAACTTAGAGGTTAACTTTAAATGCAGTCTGCTTTTTGCTTTGTAACCTTATGAACAATACACTGTTTTTGTTATCAACACTGTAGCTCTCTAGATGAATATCATGTCTTAAGCCAAAACACTGACCTATCTGACTGAAGAAATAGGAACAACTTCAACCAATTTTCACTCACTGGCTTAGTGTACAAAGTATTACTGTATCTCTCTACCAAGTATTTTAGACTGCATTCATGTGAGAAAAGTATCTTAATGAAATGTTTTCAACTGTCTGGGATAAGCTGGTTGACTTCAGTATTACTATATTACAAGCATGTGTATTCTGTGGCAGGAAATACCTAGTTAAATTTTAATGCAAAACTCTTGTGATTTTTGACCAGGAAAGTTATTTTTCTCACATTAGCCAGGAGGGAGAACAGCCTGGAGCCATCTGGGCATGTCTAGGTTGTTATTCTATACTACTCACATCATTGCCAGGGGTGGAAGTAAGGGATTCTCACTTCTGAGAAGGAGGGGTAGCATGGTTTATGGTCGGGAAGAAAAAGATGGCACATGGAGTGTCCCCCCCACCATTTTGTTCATTGTCTTGGGAGTTATGCAGTGCTGGGTTGGTTGATGAATGTGGGGGTTTTTTGGGGTTTTTTGCATGCGAATCACCCTCTTTTTGTACACTTTTGTTAGTAGTATTGTTGCTGTTACTGTTAATTTTCTTATCTCATTGCTTTTTCCAGTAAATAATTTTATCTCAACCCGTAATCTCTGCCATTCTTATCTCCCACTGAAGGGGAAGAACGAATGGGGAGGGGAAATGGGACACACTCTAAATTAAGGAGTGCTGCTCCTAAACCTCAACAGCCTTTAATTGACACCCAGTGTGAGGCATGAAGGGTTGAGATAACAGACTTGCCCAGAGTCGTTGGGAAGCAATTTTGATCTAAGAATTTGATCTATGTATGGAGCCACTGGGCACAATGTTGCTTGGTCTGTTTACATGCTTGTGGTACCTAACCCTGTATGTATTTCTGTATATGCACTATGTGCCCGTCACAGTGCTCCTTCTCAGAGCAGGGATAGGGATCAGGATCGCTTTGTTGCTGTACTGTGTGATATCAGTTTATGACATTATAACATCAAAGGCAATGAGGGCCATTAGGGATGTATCTTCAGTGCTGCTCTCCTGTCATGGCCTTGGGTGCTACCTCTGGAAATTCATTAATAATCATACCCAGCCTGTGGGGGAAACAGGGAAGGATGATTTTCCCCAGCTTTTTACCCCCTCTTCCTCCTTTAGGCCTGTTACATCAGCTTTTGAGAATTTTCAATTTCCTTTGGATGTTGAGGAAAGCCTCTTCTTGTTGCTAAGTCTGCCAGGTCTCCTCAGTGTGGTCTACACCATGTTCAGAATCAAGAAAGAGCTATCTAGGGAGGTTATTCAGAGATCTGCCATAAGGGTAGATGGATAGTCATGAGTGGCATGGAATGTGGGAGAAAATTAGCCAGTTTTGGGGGAAATTCTCTGCACCAATGGTTTGGAAGTTCACCCTTGAACAAATATAGGACCCTGTTAAAGTGACAGAATATTTGCAAGGACAATGCTGTGACCGCTCCACAGGGGAGCAACTTGTTGCAGTGTGCTGGGCCCTGGCTACTATTTATTGTACACTGCTCATCACTAGACAGCATCCTCAGGGGGAGAAGGAGGAAAGCAGAGCAACTGACACAGTGGCCACTCAAACTGCAGTTGAACCAGAGGAACAACCTATGCTGGTAGCAGTCATACCTATACAGAAAAAGAAATCCAAGACCAAATAATTTCTCTTAGTGAGGGTTAAAGATGAAGCAGGGGCCTCAGAACAGGAGGAAGAGGCAGGGTCAGAGATAATAATCTGATTCCTATCTCTGGGTGAGCTGAAAGATATGTGAAAAGATTTCAGCTACCAGTTGGGTGCCATGGTGACCTGGCTGCTCTGATGCTGGGGTATGGTGGCCCATGATATGAAACTAGATGGTAGCCAAGCAACTGAGATCTCTGTTCTGGGATGTGTGCATTGACCAGAAAATTAGTAAGAAGACACAGGATTGCAAGGTTGGAAGAGACCTTCAAGATCATCAAGTCCGAGCCAGCCCTAACACCTCAACTAAACCATGGCACCAAGTGCTACATCCAGTCTTTTTTTAAACACATCCAGGGATGGTGACTTCACCACCTCCCTGGGCAGACCATTCCAGTACTTTATCACTCTTTCCATAAAGAACTTCTTCCTAATATCCAACCTATATTTCCCTTGGTGCAGCTTAAGACTGTGTCCTCTCATTCTGTCAGTTGCTGCTTGGAGAAAGAGACCAACCCCCACCTGACTACAACCACCTTTCAGGAAGTTGTAGAGAGTGATAAGGTCACCTCTGAGTCTCCTTTTCTCCAGGCTAAACAACCCCAGCTCCCTCAGTCGTTCCTCATATGGCTTGTGTTCCAAGCCCTTCATCAGCCTCATTGCCCTCCTCTGGACGTGCTTGAAGGTCTCAACGTCCTTCCTAAACTGAGGGGCCCAGAACTGGACACAGTACTCAAGGTGCAGTCTTGCCAGTGCTGAATATAGGGGAAGAATGACCTCCCTGTTCCTGCTGGCCACACTATTCCTGATACAGGCCAGGATGCCATTGGCCTTCTTGGCCACCAGGGCACACTGCTGGCTCATGTTCAGTTGGCTGTCAACCAGTACCCCCAGATCCTTTTTCGCCTAGGCACTGTCCAGCCACACCGTCCCCCACCTATAGCATTGCAGGGGGTTATTGCAGCCAAAATGCAGGATTGGGCACTTGAACTTATTAAATGTCATCTTATTGGACTCTGCACATCTATCCAACCGTTCCAAGTCTCTCTGCAGAGCCCTCCTACCTCCAACAGATCGACACATGCTCCCAGCTTTGTGTCATCTGCAAATTTACTAATGAAAGACTCAATACGCTCATCCATGTAGTCAATAAAAATATTGAACAGAACTGGCCCCAGCACAGACCCCTGAAGGACACCAGTAGTGACTGGCTGCCAGCTGGATGCAGCACCGTTCACCACCACTCTGTGGGCCCGGCCATCCAGCCAGTTCCTAACCCAGCAAAGAGTGCTCCTGTCCAAGCTGTGGGCTGCCAGCTTTTCCAGAAGTATGCTGTGGAAGACAGTGTCAAAGGCCTTGCTGAAGTCTCTGCGTGTTTTCTCCACAATCATGCAGGAAGAACCACAGCTCAGCTCATGGGGTGTACCTTCTCTCCCCATCTAGGAGATGTCTACGTTTGGTACCAGAACCTCTAATCTGTATTGCCAAGATTTGGAGAAGGTCTTCTTTAATCTCCTCCCTGAGTTTCTTGTGAGTCTCCTCTATCTTGTCTTCTAATTTCTGCAGATGTGTTTCCAAAGCTGCCATTCTTGCATGTGTTGGGCCATGCATGACATCTGCATATGATCGGAGCTTCTTCGCCATATCAAGCACGGTCTTCTCCCTGTCATCCTGTGTAAAGACGTTTATTTGTATTCCACGGACAGATTCAAGCGAGATCTCTTTGGTTGCTCTTGGGGGATGAGGTTTATTCAGGATACATTGTGACCCTGCCTCGAGCTGCCAGACACAGCACGTGGCTGGGCCTAAGGGGATGGGGGAGGGGAGAGACAAAGAGGGGAGCAGGGACTCCCAGAGGACGCTCCAGGAGGAGAGGGGAAGATCCAAGAGAACGTCCAGCCCCCCGGAGAGCCTTTATCAAAGGGGGCTCCAGGGTGGGCTGGAACAGGACCTGGGCCAATGGGGTCACAGGTACCTGATGGTTCAGGGGAGG